GCCGGAGGTAAAGTTTCATCATCGAAATTCTGTATAGCTCATGTATTTTTCTTCATTTAATATCTTTCAGAGGATCTAGTGCTTTGAATTTAGAACTTTTATGTTTATTTAAGTAAGATATGAAATTTTTATCTAAAAGAAAATCTGGAATGGTTTATAGTTAATACCTATTGGCTATTGTTATTAAATACATTCCCTGGAAGACTGAAATGAAACTTTAAACCCTTTAATTGCCCACAAAACCAACACCAACCAGTCCTCATTTACCAGCAGATACGTGCTTAAACATTAACAGTATATTTAATATTTTTCTCTTGTTACCTTTCTCTTACCCGTGGAATTAGTCACTCTTTTTCATAGTTACCTGATATTATTTGGGAAGTTTTTCCTCTTTCTGTATGAGTGGAGATTCATATTTGTTCTCGCAGTATTAGCATATAACTGATGATCTATTTCTTTGTTTATTTCTTTCTCAGATATCTCCTGAGAAGGAGCGCCCTGGAACTCTTTATGGTTGACCGTTCAAACTTCTTCTTTGATTTTGGGGTATTTGCATCTAAACCCCTTTCTACGTATGAAATATTTATTCTAACCTTGTCAATCTCAGGTCTCCGCATGCTATAACCAATTACTTTTCCCAATTTACTTGTTTAACATCACAGAATACTGACGGAAGAAGAAATGCATATCGAGCTATCGTTCAAGCAAGGCCTCCTCACTTAAACAATATTTACCTAGCAACTCAGGTTTCTATTTTTCTCTTGCCAACTTCTTTGTTTAGTTTTTGAATTACTCTTGGTCCAAATTATTCTTCAGTGGGAAATTGATAAAGCATATGACTAGGCTGAGTCACTTTTTGTTCTGTGCTACGAATTTACATATATTGTTACTTGTTCAGAGACCTGAACAGCTTTTGAGAAGAACTCAATTAATGGAGCGCTGGGCTAGATGGGAGGTACCAATAAAGTGCATACTCACACTTGTCATACATTTTTTAATCCTTATCCGAGAATAACATCTGATACAGAAAGATCTCCATCTGGATCATATCTGCAGATCAGCAATTTTGAATACTTAATGCAGCTTAACACGTTGGCTGGCCGTAGTTACAATGATATTACTCAGGTAGATCTTGTGCTCTTTAGCATTTCGTGGTTAACTTGTCAATGCCTTTTCTTTCTTGATAGATATCTTATTCTTTGCAGTATCCTGTTTTCCCGTGGATTATTTCTGACAACAGTTCAGAAAGTCTGGACTTTTCAAATCCATCTACCTTCAGAGATCTTTCGAAGGTGGTATCCATAGCAGTTTGTTTCCATTTTACGTTCATAAATCTAGAGAATCTTGTTTTGATGTGGATCTGTATATCTTCAGCCAATTGGTGCATTAAACCCAGAGCGTCTCAAAAAATTTCAAGAGCGATATTCTAGCTTTGAAGATCCAGTTATTCCCAAATTCCACTATGGCTCACATTACTCAAGTGCTGGAGCAGTAAGTTCTGTTCGCTATAATATACTACCACTATTACTGCCAATCCCAGTTTAAAGTTTGTGTTCCTCTGAATCATGGTCAGAAGACAGTGTATACTATTTTCAATGCAACTGGATGGAGATTGTACACCTTTATCATTTAGTTCATGTGTGCAGGTGTTGTATTATCTGGCCAGAGTTGAACCGTTCACAACTCTGTCAATTCAACTTCAAGGTGGAAAGTTTGATCATGCAGACCGCATGTTTTCAGACATTCCAGGCACTTGGAATGGAGTTCTAGAAGACATGAGTGATGTGAAAGAATTGGTACGTATTGGTTTCCCTAAAGCATTGAATGGATTTCTCTTCCTCAACAATTCAAGAACCTACCCTTATTGAGCCACTAAATTTACAGGTTCCAGAGTTGTTTTACCTCCCTGAGGTGCTGACCAATGAAAATTCGATTGACTTTGGTACAACACAGTTGGGAGAAAAGCTTGGTATAGTGGTTCTCTTCCTTGTCATAGCCAAAATTTATGCCTGGCTTGGTGAAATTTTGCTAACTGATGCGGTTTTCTATCTATCAGATGCTGTAAAACTTCCTCCTTGGGCCAAAAACCCAGTGGATTTTGTACACAAACAACGAAGGGCTCTTGAGAGCGAGCATGTATCTGCACATATACATGAATGGATTGATCTCATATTTGGGTAGGTCTTCTCCTTTGAACAAATTATATACTGTCAGCACATTTCCACAGTTTTGTCCAGCAAAAATCACAAATTTTTTTTGTATGCCATTAAATTGTTTTTCCTACTTTCAATTAACTAATTTATTCAGGTATAAGCAACGTGGCAAAGAAGCTATAATGGCAAATAATGTTTTCTTCTACATTACCTATGAGGGGACTGTCGATATCGACAAGATCACAGACCCGGTAAGGCAATTTTTGCTATACTGTTGTAGTTGCTCAGTTTAAGTATTAACTCTTTGACATGACTTACCTCTGAATGTTTGATTAAGGTACAACAACGTGCTACACAAGACCAGATAGCTTATTTTGGGCAAACACCATCCCAGCTATTGACTGTTCCTCACATGAAGAGGATGCCGTTGAAAGATGTCCTACATATGCAGGTAATGCTAGTGTCAATTTGGGTTTGCAATTTAGTAAACTTCTTTTAAACAACATTTCTCAGAGGGTGAGCTATTATTTATCAAAATAAATAGAGTTTTACTATAGGAGTCTGAGTCATAAGGTGTAACGTAGAGTTTTCTCTGTTTACTGCATGCTATATGAGTATGGGAGAATCTCAGAGAAATTAAGACCAAGAAATCTCTTACGCAGTCTGTACTATATTTTCTTAAATCCACGACATGAACATGACAGTTGCTTTAAAATTTTGTCAGACTATTTTTCGAAATCCAAAAGAAATAAAACCGTATGCTGTCCAAGCTCCAGAACGTTGCAACATACCAGCATCGGCTATTCAGGCATCTTCAGATAGTGTTGTGATTGTGGATATGAATGTGCCAGCAGCTCGTGTTGCACAGCACAAGTGGCAACCAAACACCCCTGATGGCCAAGGTACTCCTTTCCTCTTTCATCATGGGAAGGCAACATCAACTTCAACTAGTGGGTCGTTCGTGCGCATGTTCAAGGGTCCAGCTAGTTCTGGAACTGGTGACTGGCAATTTCCTCAGGCACAGGCATTTGTCGCATCAGGAATCAGAAGTTCCTCTGTTGTTGCTATTACAAGTGATGGGGAAATAATCACAGGTAATAAGCAAGCATTTATATGGTCCCAAGTTTGATGGTATATATTTACGAAAATCATGTGTTTGATAACAGGTGGACATGCGGATAACAGTATCAAGCTAGTCTCATCTGATGGAGCAAAAACTCTGGAAACAGCTTTTGGGCACTGTGCCCCTGTTACATGTCTGGCTCTGTCTCCAGACAACAACTTCCTTGTGACGGGTTCACGAGACAGTACTGTTTTGTTGTGGAGAATTCACAAGGCGTTTACTTCTCGAACAAGCGTGTCTGAGCCATCAACTGGCTCCGGTGCGGCCTCCTCCGCCAGCAATACGAATCTGGCCAACACATCGGCAAACAAAGGCAAAAATTGCCGTCTTGAAGGGCCAATACAAGTTCTCCGTGGCCATCGAAGAGAAGTAATTTGTTGTTGTGTCAGTTCAGATCAAGGAGTCGTCGTTTCGTCTTCTGAGTCCTCAGATGTTCTATTGCATTCCACTAGAAAAGGAAGGCTGATCAGGCGATTAGTTGGTGTGACTGCTGATTCTCTCTGCATTTCATCTGATGGGGTTATAATGGCATGGAGTAGTTTGGAAGGTTCTGTTAGTGTGTTCACCATTAACGGAGTTCTGATCGCCAAAGCAAAACTTCCTTTCTCTTGTAGCATAAGTTGCATGGAAATATCTATGGATGGTCAAAATGCCTTGATTGGGATGAACTCATGTTCAAGAATGGACTTGTCGAGCACTAACGATACATCAACAGATGGCAAAGAAATTGAAAGACTGGATGTTCCATCTCCTTCAATTTGCTTTCTCAACTTATACACACTAAAGGTATTATCAGAACTCCTTGAAGAGGTTAACTGATTCACGGGCGCTATTCTTTTGGTCTAAACAACCTGATAATATTCTTGTCTTGTAGGTATTCCATGTGCTTAAGCTTGGTCAAGGCCAGGATATAACCGCACTGGCTCTGAACGTTGACGACACAAACTTAATAGTATCAACAGAAGATAAACAGTTGATAATCTTCACTGATCCAGCAGTAAGTTTTTATCATTTGAGAGTGTTTAGGTTTAGATGAGTCAATTGCTATAATTTACTAGTAAGTCTCCATAAAAATCAGCATCCTTGATAAGTTCTACGTCAGTTTATCAAGACACAAAGTTTCTATGATTGTACATAGTTTGTGACAATTTTTTTTGATAAATCCTTGCAGTTAAGCTTAAAGGTGGTGGATCAGATGCTGAAGCTTGGGTGGGAATGAGAGAATAGAATCAGACCTCGTTGATTGAAATGGCAAGAAAAAATTGTTGAAAATCTCAGGTTTGAATACTCGGAAGCCCGAGGTGAAGTAGCAAGCCATGGAAATCATAAACTCAGATTGTGGACATGTTTGTTCGTATGTAACATATGTAAGTATGGTTAGTCCCAGTAAAGTGATTCCGTTTCACCTGTCTCGTGTCATTTTTTTGTTCAGATTTATTCGGTCAATAGTTTTGTTAGTGGAGTCGGTTTATATAGATCAAAAGGCTTGTTGAGATTGGGGAGGTATACACACCCGAAGCTTCCTTATTTCTCTCCCCATTGAGTTTGTTTGTTGGTTATGTCTGTGATAAATGGCCTCTTTACTGATGATTTTTGATATATACAGTATATACATTTATTTATACAGAGCAATTTATTCCTCGTAAAATCATAATTTCATGATCGTTTATTTTGAGTTGGAATCCTAAAAATCATAAACCAAAATAAAAAAAAGGAACCTCTCATGTTTGGAAGCCTTAACTTCAGACCTTTCTTTTAACTATGCATTAAAAAAGACTTTAAAACATGTAATCTTTGGCTCCTTCTGTTTTTCTTTTTCCCAACAAATTCAGCATTGTGTAATTCTACACGTCTCATACAACTTACACATACACACGATTTTTAACTTGCATCCTACAAAGCAGGTGGATACGCAATATTATTATTAAAGTTGTTTGCTTCCGCCCTCTGGACCGCCCTGTGAACCGCTCTTCTCAAGCTCCACTCATAACAGAACTCCAAAGTCAGCCTTAGCGCAGTTCCTAGCCCAAGCACCACTATGACTCCAATAATGATGTTAACGGGGAGGGCAGAGACCCCGAGCGTAATAGATATTAACACATCAAGCATTAAACCACCAATGAGAATTGAGAATGCTACCCAAAGCGGGCTAAAACATCCTCTCTCACGCTCTTGTTGTCTATAGCTAGGATCAATCCTCCAAACCCAGTAATTTGTAGTCGGTCGTGTCTCTGGAGGTGTGACGTTGGCAGCCACAACTTGACAGATCTCACACTGATTAGAGCCTTTAGTGCGAAACCAAGCATCTATACAAGACCTATGAGCTTTAGCAAGGCCACCACGACAATGGCACCCTAGCTCAATCAAAGCCTCTTCTTTCTCTTGTTGGCAAACCCTGCACTGCTCGTGAGAGCTGCTATTCCTAGACAAGCTAACCTTTTTCTGGATCTGATCCAGTTCTGCCCGACTTGAATCTCCATTGCAGACAACGATGGTGAGACTCTTCGTTTCATTGACAGACTCGCTTATCGACTCGCTCTGCTTCTGGGGAGCCTTGTCCTGTTCCTGCTGCTCCTGCTTTTCAAGGTCACCACCGGAGCTGGAGCTATTATGCATCTCAAATCCCTTATTTCCCCTTCTCTCAATCCCACAAACCCTAGGAATCCACAGGAGTCACGACTCACAGATTGCGATTTGGCACTATGTATGGGGACCAAGATGACCAAAAAGAGACAGAGAGATTCAACTTTATTTGACTTATTAGTTATGTTTCTTTATTCTCTCATCTCTCTCTGCTTTTGTTTGCTAATTGACAGTTTAGTTAGTTTGAAATGTTACTGGGCTAGAGATATGGGCCTGGGCCTACCGTCAAGCTAGCTTCATAATATTACAAGTTAGGTCTGCCTCTCGAAGTGTTAGAGAGAGAAAAAGAGAGAGAGAGATGGGAGGGAAAGGGAAGAAGAGGAGAGAGAAAAACTACTTAGCTGCTCACGGCGGACCGGCGAGACTCCCGCCGCCGCCTGATCGTTCGAAACAAGATGCCCTTCCTTCTAAGCTTCGTATCCTCATGAACTACACCTCACCTTCTCCCCACGGTATATTACAACGATTGAGTCTGATTTATTTTTCTGTGTGTTGCTGTGATTCCTTCTCGGTGACTGTTTGCTTCTTCCTTCAGATACGACTAAACAAGTTGTAGAGAAGAAAGTAAAGAATACGAAAGCAGAAGTCGAAGTCGAAGTCGATGCTGCTGCTGCAACGGTATTGTTTTCTAACTTACGGCTCAATTAGAGATATCAATTTGAGAACAACTTGGTAATGGTGGTGATATGAATTCTTTAGGTAGTGCTGGGTTCTCTACATGTATAATTTGATCTTAATTTGTTTTTGGAAATGAATCGTTTTTTTGTGGTGGATAAATGTATAATTAGAATGTCAACTCCTCCTCTGATTAGGAGAGTGATGGAGATGATACAGTGGTGACGAGAGGAGATGAGAAGAAGAAGAAAAAGAGGAAGAGGAATCAAATGACGGACCTTCGCTTCGAAAAGGAACTTGCGGAGTTGGATGGTGGTCACTCTACAAGGAAAGAACGCAAGAAGAAGTAAAGCTTATTCGTTTCTTCATGGCCAAAATCCTTTGTTTGTTTATGTGTTTGAGTTTAATGACCAGATCGAGATGATGTCTTCCTTTAATGAAGGTATTGGGAGGCCAAGAAGCAAAAGAAGAATCAAGTCAAGACTGAAGATACCCTCCGAGAAAACTTCCCAAAACATGAACAGATTAGATTTGGCGATGTGGTGCAAGCTCCACCCAAGTTGGCTGTTGTTCCAAAGGTATAGTAGTAGTCTTGCTATTGTTTCTAACTGTAAGGAAAACTCAGGGAAATGAGGCTCTGCTATTGGTTCAAATGATTACTTTGTCTGTTAATTTTGGCAGGCACGAAAGTCTACTCTAAGTGCTTCGCAGGAGAGGCAGCGATTAGAGGCCATTGATGCTTACAGATCTCGCAAGGGATGGACTGAAAGACCAGGTTCTCAGATTCCTGCCGTGCTCATGCAGTAAGATGGGCCATGAACTCATTTTTGCAGTGCATCTTATCTCCTCCATTTTTTGTTTTTTTTTGTACTAGCCGGCTGTAAAATTATACAATATTGTCTCCTTTTCTACGGATTCTAATATGATATTTGAGTCATCGAATTATCTATAAAAGGCTTATTTAGCAAATGGAAGATTTTGGTGTCTGATTCCATCTATGTCGTGGATCTTTGACCAAACCTCGTGGAGGCCTGGCTCAACTTTTTTACACAAGTTTTGAGGTTACATGAAGCAGACACTATAAAAAATATGGCAAGTGTTCTGGTTAAAATCAAATGTGTGTCCTCGGGATTGCACAGAGATGGAGTCCTCCTTTTATATGGAGTGGAAAAACGTTTCAGCTTCCAAAGTGGATCGGTGAATCTGGAACTAGTTGCAACATTACCTTCATCAAAAGCTTTCATGAACTCTTCCCCTTCTTGGCTAAACCCATCCAAACATCTTAACTCCACACCAAACCCAACTTTAAAGATGGAGTCAAGTGTAAATCTCATCAACATATCCTAGCTCAAACCCAAACGAAACAAAAAAAGTATCCCTGTGAGTTTCCAAAATTGGAGATAATGAGTCAGGTTTGATTCAAAACTTACTTGAGCATCAAAAGCTTTTCCAGAGAGAGAGCAAACTCCGAGACAAAACCAACAAGCTTTGACGCATTTCTCCTAAAAACAGAGCAGCTAAATCTCTTAAAACTCTAGTAGAGAACTCGAAGCTCGCAAGCTTCCTCTGTTGTTTCCATTTCTCACCATCAACAGCAAATATCCCATTTCCCAAAAGATCCGCAATATTTTCACGAGCACTTGGTCCTTTACTATAGATATCAAAATCTTGTCTTGAGAATATGCTCCACGTTCCGAGGATCTGCAGTAAATAATCTCGCTCTGTCCTGGACTCAAGAACCTGAAACTAGGCTTTTTCCTCGCGATCTCTGTCTCGTAATCATATAATTCGTGGCTGTGGAAGAAAAGATCGAAGACGTGGCGTGTACTGGGAGCATATCTCTTGTCGTTTCTGGATTTTCCGGTGATGATTTTGATCATGAGATAGATGTGAAAGAAAGAACTACGATGATCGCTTTTAGTACTGTAATAGCTATGCTCCTCAAAATCTCCATTCCTTTTCTTTTGTTTCTTCGGAAGTCAACTACATTAGCTTAAGAACAAGTTCAATGAACACAAGTCACAAGTCAACCTATTCATTCACTTCTTCTTGCTTAATAAAATTTAAAACTCACAAGGCTTCTTTTTTTTTCCTTTTCTGAGATAAGTTTGTATGAGAGTTTTCAGACCAATCCTTGTTTTTTGCTTCGAAGTAAATTATCTCTTGTTGGTATGAAATAGACATCCAAACAAATCGTGGTGACTGGTGAGTGAAACTGATTTGGTCGTTTTGATGTTTGCTAGGGCCTCAACTTTCTTTAGTAGCACGTAATCAAATAATAAATGTAAATAAAGGGTTTGCTTTAACAGAGTAATACTAAAGTATAGTGTTGCTATGAAAGAGTTTTTTTGAGGTGTTCTTGCAAGTGTTCTGGTAGATTCAAGTGCTTGTCCTTGGGATTGCGCATAGATGGAGTCCTCCTTCGACGTGAAGTGTAAGCATTCTCTTGTAACACACATTGCTCTTCTCATCAGCCATTTTGAAGCGAAAGAAGTGAAGAAGTGCCATTGATACTATCTTCATTTGCCGGTATGCGAAATCTTTCCCAAGACATATTCTTGGACCAGCCTACAGCCAAAACATGAAACATCTCAGGTATTAGAAATTAATACTTTAATACTCTTTCTTAGCCACATAAGCAAGAGAGGGTACAAACATGAAAACTTATGAATTTGAATGGTGATTCGGGTTGGAACACGCCATCCTTAAGCCATCTTTCTGGCCTGAACTCCTCAGCATCTTGACCCCAAATGTAAGTCATCCTACCCATTGCATAGGCTAAGTAATAGATATTATCCCCTTTGCTCACTCTATGTCCATCTGGAAGAACGTCATCATGTTCTGCAGACCTCATGTCCTATGGAAGGGCCAAGATAATAAATTAAGAAAATCTCAAAATGTTCAATCACAGAAGAATCTTTTGAGCCACTGGTTATTTTACCACAGGCACAGGAGGGTAAAGCCTTAAGGTCTCAGACAAGGCTGCATGGAGATACTGCATCTGATCAAGAGCCTCTTCGTTTATACTTTCAACGAAATCATTTACATCGGTTGTTTTCTCGTGACTTGATGATGTCACATCTCTTATTTCTTGTACGATTTTCTCCTGAACAAGTGGGTTTTTGCAGAGCATGTACAAGAACCAAGAAAGAGATGCAGCTGTTGTGTCCTTCCCAGCAATCATGAAGTTCAGAATTATATCCCTCAGGTACTTATCATTCATGTTCTCCGGATCTTTCTCACTCTCCACAAGAAATCTCGATAGTATGTCCTCTCTAACGGCCTAAGGATCGACAAAGCAAACCATTTTTCAAAAGGTTTGAAAATGATAAGTGCCATCTTTAAGAGAGTAGTAACCTTAATAGAACTCACAGTGTTCTGTTCCTTCGCAAGCTCTTTCCGTTTAGTCGTAATTAGACTATAGACAAATTTATCTATAATAGCAATGCTCTTTTTGAGCTTATATTGTGATCCAATGTTAAGATACCATTTCAGCTTCCAAAGCGGATCGATGTATCTGGAACTAGTTGCAACGTTACTTTCATCAAAAGCTTCCATAAACTCTTCCCCTTCTTTGCTAAGCCCATCCAAACATTTTAATTCCACACCAAACCCAACTTTAAAGATGGAGTCCAGTGTATATTTCATCAACATATCCTACAAAACAAAAGATAAGAAAATGGCATCATTGAGCTTGGTCTGTTAACTTTGATTCGAAACTTACTTGAGCATCAAAGGATTTTCCAGAGAGAGCAAACTCCGTGACAAAACCGACAAGCTTAGATGCACTTCTCCTGAAAACAGAGCAGCTAAAATCTCTTAAAACTCTAGTAGAGAACTCGAAGCTCGCAAGCTTCCTCTGTTGTTTCCATTTCTCACCATCAACAGCAAATATCCCATGTCCCAAAAGATCCGCAAGATTCTCTCTACTGCTGTGTCCTTTACTATAGATATCGAATCTTGTCTTGAGAATATGCTCCACATTCCGAGGATCAGCAGTTAATATCTCGCTCTGTCCTGGACTCAAGAACCTGAAAGTTGGCTTTGTCCTTGCGATCTCTGCCTCGTAATCGTACAAATCGTTGGTGTGGGAGAGAAGATCGAAGACCGTGGCATGTACCGGAACATATCTCTTGTCGTTTCTTGATTTCCCGGTGAAGATTCTGAGCGTGAGATAGAGAGTGAAAGACAAAACGATGAAGATAGTTGTTACTACTGTAACAGCTATGTTCGTCAAAATCTCCATTTCCTTTATTTTTCGTCGTAGTCAACGGCCAAAGAACAAAGAGAGATAGATATCAGAGAGACAGAGATATACTATTTTAATGGGTGATGTAGTTTTATACGATGAAGATGATCTATACCAAAAATAAACAAGTGCTTTGTTATTTAATGCGACTCGTGTCCCTCTGTGGTGGATCCGTGGGGATGCGAATCGTTCTATCCCGGCGGCTCGTTTCTTTCTGGGCTCCTGTATTGGGCTATTTTTATTTCAATTCTCGTCAGTAAGAAAAGGCCCTACAAAATAGGCCCATCAATCATGAAATATGTGCTTAGTACCCTCCTTCCTATATAGCGGGTTTAAGACTTCACCTTCATCGTGTGCGTAATTTTCCTAGTTTCCAGTTCAATTCGATTTCATCAACTTCGATTTTGATCCGATTCTTCTCAGACTTGAGTTCAATTTCCGAGCAAAACATGGTGGGTGAAACCAATTTCTTCGTCGTGATGATTTTTATTTGTTTGATTAAGCTCGGAAATGATGATCGATTTCATTGGCTTGTTGCTTAGGTATGAGTTTTCTCAGGGGTGTAATCGATTCGTTTAGCTCGATATTCAACGAAGAATCTAAGCACGATCCTAACGTGTCATCATCAAGTTCTTCTGGCTCCATGAATGGAATCGATGGAGTTCCGGTTTCTAACGAACGGGTTGCCTATAAGCTTAAAGGATACTTCGATTTGGCGAAAGAGGAGATCGCTAAGGGTGTTAGAGCAGAAGAGTGGGGTTTACATGATGATGCTCTTCTTCATTACAGAAATGCTCAGAGGATCATGAATGAAGCTAGTTCTACTCCTTCTCCTTCCTATATTAGTTCGAGGTATCGATTAAGTTTGATTATCTTATATATATTAGGTTGAGAAAAGAGTAGTTTTTTTCCTTATCGGATGAGTTTGATTGTTTTGTTGATTTATATGGTAGTGAAAAGGAAAAGGTGAAATCGTACCGAGAGAAGATTTCAAAATGGCAAAATCAAGTATCTGAAAGATTACAAGCTTTGGGTAAGCGTACAGGTGAACATTTTGTATTTTTGACCTTTTTACATAAAATGTGAGGAAGCACAAGTGAATTCACATTGATGGTTGTTTGTTTTGCTTGCTTCTGGCACCAATGATGTTCATACTTTAGGTGTCGGAATCTCTGAGAATAAGGTATTTGTCTTGCTTTTTTTTTCTCTCTTCTTTTTGATCCTTAGTGTGGAAGAAGACTGTGATGTTGGTAGATATTTAAGTTATATGTTTGTGTATTAGGATTGATTGCTTCACTGAATTTGTTAAGGCATTCATTGTATTCTAAAATCCTTTTGTGATCCTTGATTATGTAGAAAACCGTAGCATCTCCTTCTTCAGTTTCAATTTCCTCTACAGCATCAAGGTCTAGAAAAATTCCATCACAAAAGACTCCAGTTCCCAGAGGTGGCGCTGCAATGGCAAGGAACACTAAAGATGCTGCTGCAAGCCCTAAACCTGTGAAAGAATCTGGAATTGTCCACGATGATAAGTTAGTAGAGATGATAAACACAACTATAGTGGATAGAAGCCCATCTGTGAAATGGGATGATGTTGGTGAGTGTCTTTTTATGCTTGTCTTCTTGTTTCCCTTTTTGATACAATATGTGGAATCACATTTATGCTGAATTATTGCAGCTGGACTTGATGGAGCTAAACAAGCTTTACTGGAGATGGTTATATTACCAGCAAAACGAAGAGATTTGTTCACTGGTCTCCGGAGACCAGCGAGAGGTATATTTTGCAGGCTTGGTTTCTTTTTGGTCTTCTCCAGTGCCATCCTTGGTAAAATTTCTTCATTTCAGGTCTGCTTCTCTTTGGGCCACCTGGCAATGGAAAAACAATGCTTGCCAAGGCAGTTGCTTCTGAGTCACAGGCAACATTTTTCAGTGTCTCAGCATCTTCTTTGACTTCGAAATGGGTGTGTGCTTCTGTCACTGTACTTTAACGCTTCTTCAAATTACTTTTACAATTCAAACAGACTAACTGATTTTTCTGAACTGATTCAGGTGGGTGAGGCTGAAAAGCTAGTCAAAACGCTGTTTCAAGTTGCAATATCCAGGCAACCTTCTGTAATATTTATGGATGAAGTATGTAATTTTTCCCTCTCCTGTCTATAAGTTAATTAAGCAGAGAACCTACTCTTACCTTACCTGAGTTCTAGACAATACCATATAAGTTGTATTTGATCGAAGAGATCTCCCTAAATCATGATCGAACATGATAAACATGTTGTCACTTGGAGGTCTGAATATGTTTTTCTCTGGTTCTCAGATAGATAGTATAATGTCTACAAGGTCGATCAGTGAAAATGAAGCAAGCAGAAGGTTAAAATCAGAATTCCTTATCCAGTTTGATGGTGTGACTTCTAATCCTGATGATTTGGTGATTGTTATCGGTATGATTCCTGCTAATTTAGTCTTTATCAAACCCAATCTTCACTCTGTGCGTCTCTGAGTATCAGTTAGCATATATTATGTTTTTGCTTGCCCTATTCATTTACTTGAATGTAATGTTTTGAAGGTGCTACTAACAAGCCACAGGAGTTGGATGATGCAGTGCTTAGGAGATTGGTAAGAATGTTTATCGTCACCATAATTTTCATATCAACAAAATGCTAAGGAAAGTATGTGATTATATCCATTTTATCACTTTGTCAGGTGAAGAGAATATACGTACCATTGCCGGATTCGAACGTCAGACATCTACTTTTTAAAACGAAACTGAAGTGCCAGCCTCACTCTTTATCTGGCGGCGACATTGACAAAATCGTCAGAGAAACCGAAGGCAAGCTCCGTAGATTTTGTATAAGAGACACAAACTATTTATTACCACTAGGCGTGTTACAGTTTCGAGTCAAATAACTAATAAGCATAATAAGTCTATGTTACAGGATACTCAGGAAGTGATCTCCAAGCATTGTGTGAAGAAGCTGCAATGATGCCAATTAGAGAACTCGGTGCAGATATTCTTACCATCCAAGCAAATAAAGTATGAAACCTCTTTCAAATAAGTCTCTCGAATCAATTTTGAAGTCTCTTTGAGTTTGAAAGCCAGTATCTGTCTAATGTAACAGGTGAGACCGATAAGATATGATGATTTTCGGAAATCTATGGCAGTGATTAGACCCAGCTTGAGTAAAAGCAAATGGGAAGAGCTTGAACGTTGGAACTCAGAGTTTGGCTCTAATTAAATTTCTTCTTGGATTGTTTGTTTGATGTTGTAAATCTGAGGTAGTTATTTTTAGATATACGGTGTAAAGCTAAGAAACAGAACAAATCAAAATCAAAATGCTTGTACTCTTCAAAGAAGAACGAATGATATTAAGATGGGTGATGTGATCGTGGCGTGGGAATTTTAAACTCATACGCGGTGCACCTGCCTAAGGTGTCGGATTGAATTTGTAGTAGTTGTTCTCTAGCAGATGGCCCTATCGTAGTTTCGATATCTCGAGGAGGGTAAAATCGGCATTTCGAAAATAGGTGAAATTTCGAAAATTAAAAACTTACGAAACGCTGCGTACTAAAGGGACTTTTGAATTCAAAATTAGTTTCTCCGCTCTCTCTCTTTTTATCTGAAAAGTCAGGCTCTTGCACTTCTTCTCTCTCCGTCGTCTAAGTCGTTAACAGTACGGTGATCAGAAAAATGAGTAAGAAATCGACAGAATCTAACGCAGGCGATGCTGAGAAGCCATGGACCCTGGCAGATTTCGAGATCGGGAAACCACTTGGAAAAGGAAAATTTGGAAGAGTCTATCTCGCTCGAGAGGTTAAGGTACTCATTTCCCTTCGATTAAGGTAGAGATTTATGTCGATTTGCGCTTTTGGAAACCTAATTGGTTGCGGATTTTGTTGAATTTGGGGATATAGAGTAAGTACATAGTGGCGCTGAAAGTGATATTCAAGGAGCAGATTGAGAAGTATAAAATTCATCATCAGCTTAGGAGGGAAATGGAGATCCAAACGAGTCTAAGTCACCCGAATATTCTGGGTCTTTACGGTTGGTTCCATGACGATGACCGAATCTTCTTGATTCTTGAGTATGCTCATGGTGGTGAGCTCTATGGCTTGCTCAAAAAGAATGGTCATCTCACTGAAAAGCAAGCCGCCACTGTGAGTCTCTCCTCGCTTGCTTTGTCCTTTATCTCAATTTTGCCTGGAGATCATCCATTTGTTGCAATCTTGGTTTGTTGTGCATGCTTCTTAAACGCATTGGCATTATCCGTTTGAGGACTGCTTGTTGTGGTGAATTTGATGTCTTTTTCTTAACGATTTACCTATATGTCAGTAGCAATTCAAGTACTTACCTATTGTCATTGGGAATATCTGCTTCCTGTGGAAAAATCAATGGATTTTTCTTGAACTCTGTTTCTCTCTTTTTCCTGGATTTCAGTACATTGCAAGTCTCAGTCAGGCACTAGCATATTGCCATGGAAAATGTGTGATTCACAGGGACATAAAACCTGAAAACTTGTTGCTAGATCATGAGGTATGTTTGTATAACTCTATGGTTATAGTGTTTGCATTGAGAACTCAGGATTTTCATCATTAGTATTGTCATACACACGCAGGGGAGATTGAAAATTGCCGACTTTGGGTGGTCAGTTCAGTCAAGTAACAAGAGGAAAACAATGTGTGGAACCTTAGATTACTTGGCACCTGAGATGGTAGAAAACAGGGATCATGATTATGCAGTTGATAACTGGACTTTAGGCATACTTTGTTACGAGTTTCTTTACGGCAACCCTCCATTCGAAGCCGAGAGTCAAAAGGATACATTCAAGAGGTAAGAGATTACTGGACTTTTATCTTTGTAGAAATGACCAACGAAACTTAAATCTCAGCTCCTGATGAGTTTGTCTAATTTAATGGTATGCAGAATTCTTAAGATTGATCTGACTTTTCCAACCACGCCAAATGTTTCAGCAGAGGCCAAAAATCTTATCAGTCAGGTACACCCAAGCTATATCATTATACCAACAACGTCTCTCTTGCTTGACTAGTTATTAAGAACTAACATATAGTTGTTTCAAATCTTTCGCAGCTTCTTGTTAAGGATCCCTCAAAACGACTCTCCATTGATAAGATCATGCAACATCCGTGGATTGTCAAGAACGCAGATCCTAAAGGTGTGTGCCTCAATTGATGCTAATAATGTTATGAGATGAAAGTCTTAGATGTTAGGAGAAAACAAAGAAAAACACTCCATATGATAATTATGCCTCATTTATCTCTATGTTAATCAAAACAAGATTCGTGTCTCCATAATTTTCTGCGATTTGACTTCTTCTAACATCTAACACAGAAAGATCGATAGATAGAAACTAAAACCATCAAAAGAACAACAATTATATGCTTCTAAACACCTGAAGAACATAATGATAATATCTCCTCACTGTCTTCTTCACCCCTTAAAGCTATGTCAGTAATAGTGGTGTCGGTACTGCAACTACTAGTGCTCTTCTCATCAGAAACGCGGGACAGTGGAACACCCATGACTGAAACAGAGAGCTTCTGGTCATCTCGATCTTTGCAGGACACAGATCTAGCAACTGTTTTCACAGTTAACGGGCTAAACCCGGCATTCTCATGTGAGTCAGTAGTATCCACTGGATGCTTCTTCTTGATACCTCTATGCATGTGCTTATCACAATATTTCTGACCAGATAAAACATCTTTGCTGCATCTCCACTTCTTCCCATCTGTTCTTCGGCACCTTCCTGGTTCATTGTCTGTTTCAACTCTTTGTAATTGAAACCCACCACGATCTACAACGAAGAAGCAAGATAGAAGACCAAAAAAGGTCATCAATATACCCTGAAAATGACGTTAAGCCGAGGTTTAAAAGGTAGTACCTTGAAGAACAGTGTCTGGAGAAAAGTGGATACAATGAAACAAGCCACCATTAGCAACATTCATATTTTTCCATTCTCTGCTTCTTGCAATTATTTCATTCTTCCTGTTGCCTGAGAATCGTGCAGCTTGTAAGGAACTATCAGATACCTCCGGGAAGAACTTTTGGACAGAAGGTAAGCTCTCATCACCTAATAATGAAACAATGGAACCTGGTCAATCCAATTGGAACAGTGAAGAAATGAGTTCTATTGATATTCTTTCTGTTGCGAGTCTAGAATCATAGTACCTTCAAGGGGAACAACTCTCACACACATACTTGACTCTTTTTTATTGACAAAGTCATCATAACTCATCTCCGTGTTCCTTCTGCTCCTTTCACCGTGACTCACACTTCTTTTTGTGGACTCAGAGATCACTAAAGACGGAGGAATGACATTATCACAGGCTCTGGCACTAGGCAATGAAGCAATGGTAACTACTTGCGCATTACTAGAACCCGACATTGTCTCAGGAAGAACACTCTCACTCTCGTTATTTCTTTCCAAACCATAAGTGTTGTCGTGTTTGGTTAATGAAGCAGACGACGAAGCAACCTCAGATGATTCCACAAGCTTTCTTGAACGTTTACGGCCTCTATGCATGTGCCGTTCACAATACTTCTCAAATAGAAGGACCGTGTTACTACACCGCCATTTCTTCCCATCTGTTCTCCTGCACCTTGTGGGTTCAGGTTCCACTGTGTCGATATGGTTTAAACCTTTATTACTCATCACTACAAGTCAATCCCCAACAACCACAAAATCAGAAACAGACAAGAATCAGTCAACTGTTAAAACAGAACAAAACTGTAATAAATTCAGAGGTAACTTAAGACTGTTGCGTATGGGACTCTTTTTACTCCTCCAACTCAAACCCCAAGAACCAAAAACATGTTCTAGGAAATTAAAAAAGCACAATAAAACCCATCAAGCATTTTCACAAGAATACCTCAAAACATACAATTGTTGCATCAGAACAAAAACTTCCCTAGATACTGAGGTCCAAGACATTATATAGTGTATGTCTAAATAATGTATTTTCTTATCTCCTATGCTAAAAAATTACGCAAATTACTCCTAAGATTTCGTGACTAAGCACACTCAAATTTCAATATACTTACGAGAAGAAGAGTGACAGCTGTAATTAGAGGAGGAAGAGAGAGCAAGACTATTCCAAATAGGCACCACAAGGTGATGAGGCACACGAAGACCAGCCTCTATGTATCTATACACCAAAGATTGCATCTGAAACTCCATAAACTGAGCCTCCTTCATCCAAGGCCACTTCTTCCTTCTCCTCTCCTCTACCTCATCCTGCTCCATTTTAGGGCTCTGCATCTTCATTACAAAAATTGTTTTTTTTTTTTTTTTTTTTGCGTGGAAGTTATTTTCAATTCGAGAAACAAAGGAGACAGCTTTTAAAACTAGCGACAAAGAGAAGCAAGAAAAAAAAAAACCCACCACCCAAGAAGAAAAGATTTAACACAAACCAAACAGAGAGATACGAAAATTTCTTCTCTGTTCTCCACTGTTTAAACACAATGAGAGAGAGAGAGAGAGAAACAGAGGAAAGACGAAGGGGTAAGTGTGAAGAGATTTAAAGGCAGTTGTCAGGTTTCTGACAAATGCGTCAGCGCTTCTCAGCCTTTATTTGAATACTTTTCGGACATTAAAAAAAAAGTTGAGTTTCCCTCTTCCCTTTAAACGATGCCACACACACAGAGTCAGAGACATCAGTCTCTCTCTCTCTCTCTGTCCAGCTTGCTCCACTACATACATACATACTTCTCCACGTTCGTTCGTATTCTTCTATGGTATGGGCCCGTATTATCATTAAAGGCCCATTACTACTACTCCACTAAGTTGGGCTCTACTCTTCTCTTTATTTTTGTTTGCTTTAATTATAACATTATATTTTCCCCTGATGCCTTTTACATCTTGGTCATATTTGTAATCCCATTATAAAAAGAAACTTGGTAGTAGGCAGAAGAGAAAAAATAACAAAGCAAAATACTTTATATATAGTAGTAAGTAATAGAGTATATAAGAAAAGCTTTGATGTAATGGGTTTACAAGTATCATATACTCACTCTCACTAACTAGCTAGTGGTTTCTCTAATATTGTCCACACGTGGAAAGTAATGCTTTAACAGCTCAAAAAGATCGTATATTGTGGGATGCAGTGATTCAATATTGGTCCTCACCGAGTTGTGGATAATTCTATTTATATTTTTAAACATAAACGTCGGCAACCAAAAATATATTTAAAAAAACGTGTATATGTTTTTCATTCTACATACTATAGTTTCTCTAATACAAAATTCATTTTTCTACGATACAAAATGACAGGTTTGAATCATTTAATGAGCAAGATACACATTCTAGTGTCCAAATCCACTAATCCACAAACAAGTTTTGGTATTAGGAACACTTCACATAACAAAAACGATCACACCAGAAACATAACTATTTTAAACTTATCACCATCTATCGATGATAAATCAAAAACGAGATTATATCTGTTGTTTCTTTCAAATACAGGTTATGTTTTGGCCCCAAAAAAAAAAAAATCTGGTGTAGAGAGTATAAAAAGACGAAGCCCGAATCTCTCAATATAGAAAAATAAAAGAACAAGACAATTAAATGGAATGGACTCTTACTTTCTTCCAGCTATGTCCGGAAAAGAACACATGGCCCCAATCCAACCCAACTCACTCACTTATAAACAACACACATTTCAAAATTTTAAAGGCAAAACTAACTCTAGTCAATTTCCTAACCTTACCACGGTTAAATATCTAACCATGGTTAACAATCATCCTTCTCTTTTAACTTCTCTCACTCTGTCTTCTCCACTTCCTCTGCTGTCTGCTCCGCACCTACACTTAAAAAAAAAACTCAAACCGTCTCATCATGGCGGCGTCACAGACCTTCTCACTCCTCGCCTTCGCTTTCTCCCTCCTCGCCTTCGCTTCAACCGTGAGTAGCCACAACATCACTCAAATCCTCGCTGATTCCCCTGACTACTCTTCCTTCAACAGCTACCTTACTCAGACGAAGCTCGCCGACGAGATCAACAGCCGCACGACGATTACTGTCCTCGTCCTCAACAATGGTGCTATGTCTTCTCTCGCCGGGAAACATCCACTCTCCGTCATCAAAGGCGCTCTAAGCCTCCTCGTCCTCCTCGATTACTACGATCCCCAAAAACTCCACGGGCTCTCCAAAGGTACAACTCTCTCCACCACACTCTACCAAACCACCGGAAACGCTCCCGGAAACCTAGGATTTGTCAACATCACCGATCTTAAAGGAGGCAAAGTCGGATTCGGCTCCGCCGCTTCAGGTTCCAAACTCGATTCATCTTACACCAAATCCGTTAAACAAATCCCTTACAACATCTCCATTCTCGAGATCGATGCTCCGATCATCGCTCCCGGAGTTTTAACGGCTCCTGCTCCTTCCGCCGCCTTGTCGAACATCACCGGATTACTCGAGAAAGCCGGCTGCAAAACCTTCGCGAATTTGCTTGCTTCCAGTGGAGTTCTCAAGACTTACGAATCCGCCGTTGAAAAAGGCTTGACGGTTTTTGCACCGTCCGATGAAGCTTTTAAAGCTGAAGGTGTACCAGATCTGACGAAGCTCACACAAGCCGAGGTGGTCTCGCTCTTAGAGTATCACGCCCTCGCTGAGTATAAACCTAAAGGCTCATTGAAGACTAACAAAAACAACATCACCACATTGGCCACTAACGGCGCCGGAAAATTCGATCTAACAACCTCAACCTCCGGCGACGAGGTTATTCTCCACACCGGCGTTGCTCCGTCGAGACTCGCCGACACTGTGCTCGACGCGACTCCGGTTGTGATATTCACCGTGGATAACGTTCTCCTCCCTGCTGAGCTATTCGGGAAATCTAAATCACCTTCTCCGGCACCGGCGCCGGCACCAGATACGGCATCGGCACCATCTCCGGCGGAAGGACCTTCCCCAATCGCGGCTTCACCACCAGCACCTCCAACGGACGATGCACCGGATAGTGCTCCTTCAGACTCGCCGGCAGGTTCAGCAAACAGTAAGTCGAAAAACGCGGCGACTGGCGTGAACTCACCGTCATTGTTCACCGCATTGATCACGTTCGCCGCCGTAACCATCTCCGTGTCTCTCAGCCTTTGAAACCTTTTAGAATTCTCCGTAATTACGCAGTCTGCCACTCCCCCCCTCTTTGTTTTATTTTTAATTTATTTCTATTTTTGTGGATTCTTCAGTGTTTGTTGAGTTTGAAAACATTGGATTAGTGAGTGACGTTTTTATATTTTGAATCTTTTTGTTAATCACATTTTCATTATTTGCTTTCTAAGTGTTGTTGATCTGATTTTTATCCTGTTGAGATCTATCGGCCTCCAGTTCTATCTTTTAACTTGTTTTCCATTCCATTCTTGGATAAAAGTACTTTTTGTACCGACAATAATGCAGTAAACTAGACGTTTTTTTTTTACCTATGATCAAATTATTACTTATACTTGAACTACTTTGAGATTAGAAACATCAAACAATGTATTAAGGTTTAGATTCCGATGTGATTGATATGTAAGATGCTCTACTAAAAATCTTTAGTTGGCCCAAGTTCTCTTATTTTAGAAATCAGACTTTTTTGTTGTTTAGAAAGCATATTGATACCTTCTTTACCTTTTTGGCTGGCTAATGGTTTCCCGCGAAGCAACGAACAAAGCAAAAAAATTCCACTTTTAGACTTAATTTGATTTAATTTACATTATTTTTGTAAACGATGCCGTTTGGTTGGCAAGAAAACTAGAAAAGTAAATGATGCGTTTTTATCGTGTACAAATCAATTAAAACCAATGGATGGGTCTACACTACATTGTCGAGGGTTGGGATCGGTGGCCCAAATCTATTTATTATGAGAGCGAAAAGCCCGATTTCTTTTTGACACCGACACTTCTTTGAACAATGAAAACGTTTATATTATTCCGAGAACGCAAACCCTACCGTTCTCATCTCTATAAAACGACGACCATTGTTTATTTCTTTTTCCACGACGACAGATCGTCTTAAACATCAGTCTTCTTCGAGAAGCTTTACTGAGTTAAGTTCCGAGGCGAGAGAGAGACTCATGAATCTTCTTCACTCACTGAACTGAATATTATACAGTTAGGGTTTCAAAATCCCCGCCAATTTTCTCACCTTCTTGATTCGGAGCGCCAATGGCGTCTACGGTGGCTGAACAAGACGAGAGGAAAATTGCATCGGTGACATCCAACCCGATCCCGGATATTAAAACGGCTACTGCATCGCGGATCAACAGCCAAAGTGACGCTTCTCCATCTCCCTCCCTCAACTCCAAGGATTTCATCGTCTCCGCTGCTGCTAAAATCGCCTCTCAGCCGTTGCAGAACTACGAATTCAACGTCTGGGGGGTCCTCACCGCAATTTCAAGCAGTGCTCGCAAACGCCGGCAGGTTCGTTTCTCTCTTAAAAACCCACAACCCTACTCAGCGTTTTGGTTCTCTGTAACCTGTCCTAATGTGATTCTCGTCCAAAAAGTTTGATTTGGTTCCTGATTAATGGATTATAGGGCATAAATATACTCTTGACTTCTGATGAGCATTGCTTAGGACGGCTACCACGTCACGCCGGTTATCAGATAGAATCAGCTGCAATTAGTGGGAACCATTGTAAGATATACCGTAAGCAGGTAGCAGGCGGTGATGGGGATAATACTTCTAGCTCTGATGTATCTGTCTTTGTGGAAGACACAAGGTTAGTGAACCTCTCTTCTCTTTCAATTCTGTGATTCCTTTTCTGTGCAGTTGTAAAATTTTGACTTTTGTTTATGTCTCCTGCTCTCTTTGATTCAGCACAAATGGTACGTTTCTCAACTGGGAGAGGTTAAACAAGAACGGCCCTGCACTCAGGGTTCAGCATGGTGACATCATATCGCTTGCTGTTCCTCCAGAGCATGGTAACATAAGTTTTCTGTGCCATAGCATTGTGAATTCATATCTCACTGATAGCAGTTTTATTAGGGGATTAATGGTTACTATAATGTATCCAGTTTTATGCTATTTTTCCAGATCAATTATCATGTTAACACTAGACCTCTGCATTTTTTTTTTCAGAAAAGGCCTTTGCATTTGTATACCGTGAAATACTTGGTAATAATGCTGCACTTTCCTGCATGGATAGAAAAAGAAAAGCAGGTAGTAGTCACGAAGGTCACATACGTCTTTCTATTTCTTTTTTCTTACTTCATGTATATAGAACTAAAGAGTCGCATGTTTTAAGGCACTTCTTTCACCAATATGTAGCATGTGTTTTTTCACTTCTGATCTGTGTTTTTGCTCATGTGAAGAGGATGTTACTTGTGAAATTAAGCGGCAGAAGGGTCTAGGAATTGGTGGTCCCAATGGTCCAATATCTCTGGATGATTTTAAGAGCCTTCAGCGTTCGAACACAGTATGTTTATCATCTTTTTTGGATTCCATTATTAGATGTAAGTGAATGTATTATCTTGATGTCATTCTAACTCAACTTTTGTGTCAAAAAATCAATGTTCTATGCAGGAACTTAGGAAGCAATTGGAAGCACAGGTGCTTACCATTGACACTCTGCGAAATGAGTCCCGCTCAATCGTGGAGCACCATGAAAATGTATGATGAGTTTGTCTTTGAATCTTTGTTGTGGTGCATGGTGGTTTTTTATGTCAAAAATCTGTTGTAAACAATAATCATGTTTGGTTAATTGGTTGATTATTTGAGTATCCTTACTGGTAGATCTTTGCATTTTCAGGAAATAAAACAGAATAAAGAATCCATCGCAAAATCATTTCATAATGAACTGACTGAGCTGCGTGATCTGTTAGATGCTAAGCAGAAGGAACTGGCGCAGGTTAACAAATTATCAGCTGAACAAAAGAATTCCATAGATGAACTTGGTGAGAGAGTAAGCGCTTCCGTGCAATCTCTCGGTGAAGCAAATGAAATAATTAAAAGGTGAAGAAATGTTTTTCCCTTGTCGATTGTTATTTTTATTCTCTTAGGATCATTTTTTATGCAAGTATTGTGAAAATTTTGATTTTACCTGTCCCGATATATTATCTGCTTATTTCTATGTTGAGTCCCCCCTAAGTATAAAAGTTAGAGGTTGGCATCTCAGAGGGTGAAAGCGTGAGGCATAAGACACTTCAAAATGTTACTCTGGTCTTGTTTGGCAACAACATATAGCTTAAACATTTATATACACTACTTCTTTTGGTTGTCAATTGGTCTGTGGGTGTTTAATGTTCAGATGATTTTCTTCATATTGAGTTATTGACCTTCCTGGAATATCTTATGTGGCTTTGCTTTAATAGACTGTATATTGCAAATATGTAACCCTAAGTAAAAACTACATATTGCTTTCAGTCAAAAGGCTTCTATTGCTGAACTGAAGACAGGGTTGGATGAAGAAAGAAAACAAAGAAGAGAGGACAGCGAAACTGCCATTGCCGAACTCAAAGCTGCGATACATAGATGCCAAATTGAAGCTCAGGACGAACTGAAAAGATTTTCTGATGCTGCTATGAGACACGAGAGGGAACAACAAGAAGTAATTAACAAAATGAAGGTATGAAAAGAATTAGCTGTGTTTGACTCTTCCCATCATTATGTCCTTGGAATAAGACATTTTACTTGACAAAACTATAGGATTCAGAGAAGGAAAGGTCAATGCAAGTGGAAACTTTGATGTCAAAATTGGTATGTTCTTGTAATGTTTATCATAATTAACCTCTTGATCACAAAAAATTGTACTCTATTTTTTTTTCTCTTCATTTTGTTGTCATTTTAGAAGTTTTGTGGTGTTTTATAGGAAGATACGAGGCAGAAGTTGGTCTGCTCTGACAATAGAAACCGTCAGCTAGAAGCTCAAGTTTCGGAGGAGCAGCTCGCTTCTGCTAGTGCACAAAAAGTACCTGACCCTGAATTCAGTTTCTTTCTTATTTTATATCTCTCTCTTTTATTTCTGTACTAACAGGTGCATTTGTTGAAAAAAATTTGGACAGAAAATGGAAGAACTTGACCTTGAAATAAAAAAACTCCAAAAGGATCTGGACAGTGAAAAGGTAAGAATGGAAACAAATTTGTGTGCCTTGTACTGTTTTAACTGTTTTACATTAATGACATGCTTCTGTTTCCTACCTCTGATTTCTGCTACAAGAACTATGATATCATGTTGTAAAGGTCGTGGACTTGTAGCTGAGATTTTATTTTGCGTTGTCTCCAGTATATGATTAAGCTGAGACTGTCTTTGTTATGTTAGCAGGCAGCTCGAGAAGAAGCATGGGCGAAAGTGTCTGCTTTGGAACTAGAGATAAGTGCCACTGTTCGAGACCTTGACTTCGAAAGACAAAGACACCGTGGGGCAAGGGAAAGAATCATGCTCCGGTAAGAACATTTACATGTATGGTACAATTACGTTAGGCTGCTATTCTAGAGTACATGATTAGTTTGCTAATATACTTTCTGTTTAATGGTGAAACTTTAATACATGAATGTTTTTAGTGTATTTAGTGCCTCTGTACAGTTGTTTTGGTTTCTAGGTTTTCTGGTTGGAAAGGTAGTTTCTTGTTGACAGTCTTGCGTTAAGATGCATTTCACGTAAGCTTGATTGGTCTAACTTAATGAGAACACGGGATCTTTTCATGCAGTGAAACTCAGATGCGGGCATTTTATTCTACGACTGAGGAGATCTCAGCTCTCTTTGCAAAGCAGCAGGAACAGCTCAAGACTATGCAGAGAACTCTGGAAGATGAGGATAATTGTGACAATACTTCACTAGATATTGATCTTAATCCAATAAACAGAAGTCCCAACAGAGCTAATTCTCAGGAAGATAGAAGAGAAACTTACCATTCAAATTGTGCTGCCAGGGAAAGCTCGTCCACTTCAGGGCTAAGGTCTACCAGAAATGAAGTTTTGGATACGTCTTGTGAAGATGCAGATGCTACTCAGAAGCATGATTGTGAAATCATGAGTCAGGAAGGCCAAAACACCCAAGAAGCAGAGTATACTAGCTCTGAAAAAGTCGTGAAGGGTGGCTTTGGCTCAGATATAGAAGGTGTTGGTACAGCACCCACTTTGGGAACAGACCCTGTAGGAACAGAGCAAGTTAATGAAACTCAAAGTCCAGGAAATGCTTCTGAGAGAAACGATCATCTGAGGAAGTCGATCATTTTAGCCAGTGATACAATGCAAATAGATTGTGAAACTCAAATGCATGAAAGTGTTCAGAATGATGGAGCTCTTCTCTTGTTAAGGAACCAAAACGAGCAAAGGGATACCCAAGACACAGAGGGCGTAGGCACTATAAGGACGTCAGATCTTCTAGCTTCTGAAGTTGCTGGGAGTTGGGCTTATGGCACAGCTCCTTCTGTACGTGGAGAAAACGAAACCGGAAAAAGTAGAGAGGATGAAGAGAGTCAGACTCAAAGAATCAAGGAAGTGACTATAGTACATGATTCTGCCAGTCAGGTAGACGAAAGTCAAACTAAACCTACAAGTTCAGGGATCATAGTCTCTAGGGAGGATGAAGCTGAACGTGGAGTTATTCAAGAGCCAATGGGGATCACTGATCAAGGGAAAATAAAACATGCTACTGGTTCGGACTCTGAGACAGAGAGTTGTTCTGAATCTGATGATGATCATGAGAACCAAAAACAAAGTCCTGTCTCTGACTCTGATACAGAGGGTTCCGATATGAATGATGATACGGGATCAAACTCTTCGGAGGCTGATTCAAAAGGAAGCCATGAAGCGGACCCAATGGACGAAGACGATAAAGCTACGTAGCAAGATTCCCTTTCCAATATCTTATTATCAGTAACATATTCATGAACTTGCACTCTAGCCAAAATCCTTCTTGTTTTGTTTTCCTAGAGACTGGGCTTATTTTTCCGTTTGATTAGAAGTAAGGTGTAGATAACGCAGGGCAAATGGTGAGGTTGTAACATGGGGAGTTGTAATTTACGTGATTAAAAGAATTGAAAGTTTAGGATGTGTCTACTTCACAACAAAGTCACTCCATAATGTGATGCAATGATAGTAAAGGTAGAAATGAAGGGGGAAAGGATGGGGCTAAGCTAGAGATGGAGCTAAAAATAGACAGCAGAAAGAGTTAGTCAGAGGAATCATCAATGGATAATCTGAAATTAAAAGAGAGGATTTGATGGTGAGAGGACGAAGAGAAGAGAAGCTCTCCTTTTACAACCATTTCATCATTATAGAAACAGTAACAACTCGAGAGGACGAAGAGAAGCTCTCCTTTTACAATCATTACAGAAACAGTAACAAACTCCAAAACTTACCCTCCAAACTCTCTCATCAATTTCTTGGCATTCTTCTGATCTCCTCTTATACCTTTAGTGGTAAATCTCTTAGGTTTGATTGAGAAGATCCATAGTTGTCTATGGGATATACTCAAAAAGGATGGCTAGAAATAATAGTAGTAGATATAATAATAATAGAGGTTGTAACAAAATAATAACAAGTTTTGAACACTTTTTAGAGAAGCGTGGATGGGGGGTTTCATTCTAGTGTTGACTATCTCCTCCAATTCCATTGATGCCTCTCTCTCTTATTACTACTAGTATTGTCTTTGCATTTTTAGTTTGTATGAAAATTATCAAAACAAGAAATGAGTAGAGTTTATAGTGGTCCTAGTCCTTGCCCTCATCAATTTATTCTTTTTTTCTCCATATATATCATCAATACATGTAATGAGTAGGGTTTTTTTTTTTTTGTCCATGAGTAGCTTGATATGTTTATTGAATGGTTGTGAAATTCAGATTTATATATACATGTTGCACAGAAACTATTTTAAAGTGTATTTTTTTATTGCTAGATTTTTATAGTAAAATATTGTTAGGAGGTCGGTAAAAAAAAAAATTAGTTTGAAGAATATGGAGTAGTATTATTGATTGGGCTAAAAGAAGAAGAAAGAGGACTGGGCATGTGCATGTGGAAATTGGGTTTGAGAATTGAAGAGAGAAGAAGAAGAAAAACATAGAGACAGCCCACAAAATTCATAATGCATGATGATAATGATGAAGAATCCATCGTCGTCGAGTGGGGAGGAATGGGGTTATTATGGCAAATGGGTATGATGATTGTGGGGAGAAGAAGCCAAATCGGTGGTTTCGTTTTCCAAATTAAATGTGCTTTTGGCTTTTGCTTCTACTTCTACTCGAGTACTCCATGACTTTTTCCACTAACCACAACAAAATACATTACATATAACAAAAGTCACTGACTGCACCCGATTCGGTAGTATCCATTTCACACTTTTTTCTTTTCCTCTTCCTTGCAAGTTTCAGAACCATTCACCTAAACCCAACCTCGCTCTTACCTCACGTGAACCATCACGAGCCATGATTCCCTCTTTCCTACCTTTTTTCTCCTGATTCCCCTAAATATTTTCATTTTTATATTCTAAAACCATGACTACGGATTAGTGTAACATAATTTCTACACTTAGTGTAGCGTTTCATGTTTTTTTTTTTTATATATATATATATATATATAGTTGAAATCCTACTGCTAATTTGTAGTATGTTTTTATCGTAGATTTATAGAGTGTTGTACCTATATATAACGAAAAGAAAAATATAGTGCTTATTAGTTAAGAATCTTAGGCTTCGAATGGGAAAATAAAATAAGCAGAGCTGATCAAGTGTACAATGCAGATCTAACAAAATAAGGCCTTGAATGGAAAGGCAGAACAAAAGCAGATAATACACACAACGGGGGACTGCTATTTTTCCTCCATTCACACAAAATTAATATAATGACAGTTCAAAAAAGAAAATATTATTAAAAAATAAGTGATCTGCTAAGAAGGATATTTGTACTGCACTATGAACAGTAAAAAAGCTGGAGATTTGGAGTGTTTTTAAATGAACTGCTTTTTTAATAAAAAATTAATAAAACTTGATCTGCATTTAATATGCCATATCTGCTTAATCTACTTTTGTTCTGCTGGGTATATTTGAACTGCTTGATCTGCTCTGTCATATTTATTATCTCCATTCAAAGCCAAAGCCTAAAAGCAGATTAAGCAGATTTGGCAGTTCAAGTGCAGATCCTACATTAAAATAGAGGTGTTTAATCTGCTCTGCTTTATAGGGAAAAAACATGACCATAAAATAAATTTTTTTTTTTTTGTCCATCTACAGAATTTTAACAGGAGAACTGCAATTATAAATGATAATTATTTATTTTTATGAATGGTAAAAAAAAACAGTTAATCTGTCCTGCTATATTAGTGCTTTATATCTGCTTCTCCATTCAAACCCTTAAGATTACACATGCAACATGTAGAAGAAGAGAAACCATTGGACGGGGAACGACGACAACATATATATGGCTGTAAGTAAATTAGAAGAAAAAACAACAACTACTTAGAAACTTAAGTCTTATTGTGTGTATTTAACGGAATGATTAAGCATCATTAGATATGACTTCCAACGATTTGAAAATTCTGGATTTACACACTCTCATCAGACTCTCTACCTTGGATGCTCGGGTACGTAATCCTTTTCTCTTTTGAAAAAAAGAAAAAGGGTAAACTTGGGATTAGTTTTTATAGAAAAGCAAAAAATATTAAACAGAAGAAAAAAAGGAGACAAAGACTTATGATTAATAAAGTTAAGAGAAACACTTGTACTTGTAAGGAAGAGATCGAGGTTTTGACGTACTCTTAACCTTTTTTGACTTCTTTGGCTCCTTAATAATCATGATTTGACCTTTTGGCAGTCAAATAAATCTGCCAAACTCGATTCATAAAACTCTCATAATATGAATCTTTATCCTTTTTGTTGCAGTAAATTTTAGGTTAATCACGTCACATAATATACCATAATTTTCTTTATTTTTCTGATAATTGATATATATATAGACCATATAAAATTACGTTCGATTCTTTTGTTTTCACTGTCAACAAAAAGAACCAGTTTATTGGCATTGCTACAGTAACGGTACTGAAGTAAAACTATATAATATATCATATATGTAAGTGTGAGTGTCATGTAACGGTAAACCATACTGTATGAACATATTTGGTTGAGCAAGTGCGAGTTAAACAAGCCTGTTTACCAAATACGAGTTACAGTAAAGATTCATTGTAACCATGTTAGGCCAAAGATCAATTAAATTTCATTTTATATCTTAAGAAGCTTGTAATAGTAATTTATCCGGTCAATATGTATATAAGTTTGGAAAGTATAATGTATATAAGAAGAAGCCAAATGTTACGCAGATTTGACTAACTGTCACCTTGATTTAAGCTTTGATGGCACCGTCACCATGTAATTAAGTTGACAAACAAACAAAACTTATTATAAGTTATAAACCAAAATTGAATATACAAGTTTGTTAGTTATGTCGTGTGTACCTTTTTAAGTTTTAACGGTGACTTGAGAGAGCTTTTTAGGGAAACCTCCTAAAATTCTTCTAAATAGTACTTTTAACTAAATCAATCAGTCAAAAATAACAATAAGAGATATATATAGACAAAAAGGACAGTTTTTATTTTTCTTGGTTATACAATACTTGTCCTTCTTCATCCTCTCAAAAATTTCAACTTCATCTTCTCCCTCATCACATTTTTCCCTGTCCCTTTGTAATCATGATTCTTCTTTCGCCATCATTACCTTCTAAAGGAGTCTCTCTCTCTCTCTCTTCTCTTCTCATCACCTCTCTCTCTGAAAGAATAATGCAAACACAAACTTCATCTATATAACGCCTCTATATATATCTCTCCCCTAACTCAACCACGTCTCACTTCTTATTCTTCTCTTTCTATCTTCAAGCTCCAAGATGTGTTTGAGTTCTTCAGAACCATTTGCAGACACACCCACGAAACTAGTTTTGTACCTCAAAACACAAAGCCACGTTCGTATCCCTCGTCTCTCCAGGTTTCAATCTCTCCATCATCACACAATAATATACACATGTATATATGAGATTATTATATGTAATCGACTTTGTAATTTATATATGTTCTTAGTCATTATGATAAATTAACGTTCTGTTTTTTCTTTGTCTTTTTCTTGTTTGATTCAGGAGGAGAAGGATGTGGAGGGAAGAAAAGAAGATGGAGATGATCAATCTAAAGCTATACATGGAGAATCAAAACATCATACGAGAAAACGAGAAACTTAGGGAGAAAGCTCTTCTTCTTCACCAAGAAAACAAAGCTCTCTTCTCTTTGCTTCATCAGACCAAAAAAATCTCCTCTGTTCCATAAGACAAAACCTTACACCATCATCACTAAAAGATCATATTCTTCGTTCTTTACTGAATTAGTAATAAGTAAGATCTGAGGGCTCCAAGCAAAAAAAAACACCAAATACAGTTTTGGTTATTTGAGAGTCTTCTACCTAAGTGGGGTTTATAATCAAGGGTTTTAGTTATTACTGGGTATACTTCTAATTTTTATGTTCTTTTTAGTCTAATCTCTCATGTAATCTCTGTACCTGAGTTCTTTTGTTAATGGTTAATCATCTACTTCTTTATATATTTGCTACTACTTAACAAATTGATGTATTCTCCTTTGGATAACATTTTACACACACACACACACAAAAAGAAAAGAAAAAGAAAAGATTGACTATTTCCTTTTTTAAGATCTCTCAATCGTCGAGAGAAATTAACACAGCTGGTACGAACATCTCACGTGACGTGGGTACCCGCAACAACGTAGAGAATCACCGTAATATTAAATTTTTCGATTTGGAGTATCCCAACCAAAATTTATGATTTTCACATGGCGCTGCCGTGACCGTTCCAAAGATGGCAAAGCCATGCCGTTTCAATCAACAGATTCAAACCTACCCGTCGTTTTAAACAACTGAACCAAACATGCATGCCGTTTCTATTACAAGGACCAGTCCTCTAAAACCACAGCACACTCAGGTAGAACATAACAAGGAGAGACCAAAACATGATGAAATCATTCCATGAGTTTTATTCATCAGCTACATAAAACCAGATGATAGTAGAACCATCTCTTCTTCCCATTAAATACCAAACAAAAGGAACAAAGATCCTGAAAAAGAAGTATACTAATATCGACCGATAAGAATAAAATCATCGTCGTCAAGAGCCTGCACATCTTTCTCACCCACAAAATGCTCTCGGCCGATCTCCTTCACCAGTTTCACAAACTCAAGCCTCTTGGACAGAGGCAATGGGACGTACGGTAACCTGAAAACTGGCCTTGACACTCCAAGCTGAGCCAAAGCAGTGTTAACCCCAATTGGGTTTGGCTCGTTGAATAGCCAAGCCATCAAAGGTAGAAGCTTTGCGTTCAAAGACGAGTTCCTACCTTCAAACATCAGTTTCCTCATCAAACCTGGAACTAAATTACTAGTAACCGATATAACTCCGGTAGCTCCATAATCCCATCTTGAATCATGACACTCATCATCATTCCCACTCCACACAACAACTCCATTCTCAGTGTACTCTTCGACCCGCTTGTTCCCAACACACTCCTTCACACCAGCCAAATTAGGGTTCTGAGAAAGTTTGAAGATGGCACGGGGCGGTATATCCTGCCCTGTTCGACCAGGAACATTGTATATAATGGTCGGTCCCATATGAAGAACTGACTGCAAATGTGCGATTAGACCCTCAATGGAAGTCTTGCCGTAGTAAGGGTTGATGTGAAGAGCGGCGTGCATTCCAACAGCGAATCCTTGCTCAGTGGCGTGGATGGCTTCTCTTGTAGAATTGCTTCCAGTGTTTCCAATAACTTTGATGCTTCCACCAAAACAGTTAACGGTATGGCCAATGAGCATAATGTGTTCGTCCCAGCTCATCAACTGTCCTTCACCAGTCGTACCTCCAACGATAACACCTTCAGCGCCGTTTTGTATCTGAATGTTCACTAAGTCATCATAGGCTTCAAGGTCGAATCTTCCATCAGGTAGATACGGTGTTTTGATAGCTGTGATCACCCGTAGAGCTTTTATGTCGTCTGTATTTGTCCTGACAATCACAAAACCAAAACATGTCCCGGGTATGAAAACAGAGAGTATAAACATACATACGAAATCTTACAATCAATACAAGGTCGGTCAAGCTAAACTCTTATATCACACAGACCTGTTTTTAACCTCCAAGCTGCGCATTGGGAGATGAAAATTGGGCACAACGGCTGCTTTTGGAGAGACCCATTTCGAGCTCCTTCTGTGTAATGAACACGACAATCACTCAAAATGATTCATGCTAGAGTGCATGTCTCAATAGATTTTAGCCAGAGGAAATAACAGATTTCAATTCTAAACCACTATCAATTGCAATTAAACCGGTTTACAGTAGCATCCCCATCAAGCTGATGACTTGCCTAGCTTAGATTAAGCCAAAAACAAATAAATAAAAAAGCAGAAGATTAAATAAGAAAAGAACCTCTTGTAGCCATCGAATCGCTTTGGGCAGGGGAATTGTAGAGCAGAGTCCATAGAACACAAACCATAACCTTTCAAAGCAGCCATCTTTGGAGAAATCACAGAGGAGAAACAAAGAAAATTTACCAAAATTCACACGGCCGTGTAATCAAAAACGTCACCAGAGCTGGTGTAATCAATATCAGTTGGCGACGATGATGCTAATAGTGAGAATAGTTCCGATGATTGTTGAACAGGAAAATGAAACAATAGAGCTCTGGTAATGGTGGATGAGCATAATGAGGAAAGGTTCCGATAAGAGCAATGAGGAGGATTTGTGACAATGGAAGAAGAAAGCGGCGAGAGCTGGAGACGGAGGAGGGCAAGGAACCAAATTAATATTACAAAAAAGCCGCCTTTAGGGTTTTGTCTCTCTCTACCTAATCTCCTCAGGTATTGCCACGTGGATTCTGATTGATACGCACAAAATATATAGATTTGGTTTTGTTTAAGGTTTTTTTTTTGGTTATAGCAGCAGCTTTCTGGAAGACTTTTTTTAGCTCAAAATAATGGTTTGATAACTATTGTATATGATTAAGGGCTCCGTTTGGAATTTTAATATTTTCATATTACTAAGGGTAAGTTGAGAATCGAGCATATTTATATTAGTTCATGCAAGGCACGTTTGTTCGTGTTCAAACGGTCAAACGGAGAGCACTCTATTAGTAGTATATTTCTTCCACTCGACTGATTAAAATATAAAAAGCAGTCACAGTTTGACCGTTTGAACACGAACAAACGGAGAGCACTCTATTTGTGTTTACTCGACTGATTCTAGACCAAACGGAGAGCACTCTGACTATCATAGGCCCAATATGTAAGTCTGAAGCCCGAATCATACATAGTTAATAAATAAGTTCAATCAGGTTGTCAAATGGGCTTTCATATAATTGTTTTACCCCTATGATTTGGTTTTTATTTCGTTTAAAATGCTCGCAATACGGTTGTATCAAAATGTATCTGTTCTACGAATAATATTTGGTGCTACTACTTGATAATTTATCTGAGTCGATGATTTAAAGCAAAAAGAAAAAGAAAAAAAAAGAGAAGCTGATTGATAGAGATATTATTATAGGCTTGCCGCAAAGCAACAAGATTCAAAAGTTAAGAATATATACTTGCTTCTTTTCCACATTCTTATAAACCGCAGAACAGTACAGTACTCATTGAGCATATGAAACTAGGAAAAATTGTTCCAACGAACAATTGTGAAAATATTAGGATTATTTTGTAGTTGTATCCTAATTTTAAGTAGAAATTTGAATTTTACACCAACTCTTTTAAATATTTGAAATGTATCTTATGTATGATTAAAAATGATTATTTTACCCTTAATTAATAATTAAAAGTTAATAATACAAAAACCAAAAAACAAAATTAATATATTTTACAATATTACTTTAAAAAAAATTATTAGAAATTAATTAATTATGTTCGAATTTTTAAAAAATATTTTAGATATTTATTATAGCTAATATTAATTAGTAACTACAACTGAAAATAATAATAATTTATTTTTAAGAATATCATTTAAAATAAATTACTGGTTATAAATTAAATATTCAAATATTTAAAATTTATTGTAGTAATTATAAATTAATTTATTATAGATAATAATAACAATAATTAAAATTAAATAAGAATTTATAATATTTATAAACTTTTGGATTTAAAATTTAATTCGAATTTTAAATAAGGATAATATAAAAATAATTTTCATAATTTTTCATTTAATAGAAAATTTTGAAAACGATATTTAAATGTTTTTAACTTTAATATACTAAATATCTAAACTAGTTAACCCTAAAAAATCAACAGTTTAAAAAAGTTGACAATGTAAAAATCAATTAAATAAATAACAAGTCGACTCTTGTAATATAAGTCAACAACAACAAAAATTAAGTCGACAAACATAATATATAAGTCGACAGTTCTAAAAGTCAATAAATGTAATAAGTCAATATAAAAATAAAATAAGTCAGTTAAGACTAAACAAATCGACCAAATTTTTTTTTAAAATCAACAAACATAACAAATAAGTCAACTGTATAAATAAATCGACAGTACAAAAAAACAACGAAAGAAAATAT